CAAATTGAACCAACAACCGTTTTGGATGCTATTAATGATGAACATTGGTCTATGGCAATGCAAGAGGAGCTTAACCAATTTAAACACAATGATGTTTGGGAATTGGTGCCTAGACCTAATGATCATTCCGTTATTGGCACAAAATGGGTGTTTCGTAACAAACTCGATGAAAATGGAATAATCACTAGAAACAAAGCTAGGCTTGTAGCTAAAGGCTACAATCAAGAAGAAGGCATTGATTATGAAGAAACTTATGCACCGGTTGCACGTTTAGAAGCTATTCGTTTATTACTTGCATTTGCATCTACGATGGATTTTAAACTTTATCAAATGGATATTAAAAGTGCCTTCCTTAATGGTATCATTCAAGAGGAAGTGTATGTCGAACAACCCCCGGGTTTCGAAGACTATGAGTTTCCCGAACATGTCTTCAAACTCAAAAAGGCTCTTTATGGTCTTAAACAAGCACCTCGTGCTTGGTATGAACGGTTAAGCAAATTTCTTTTGGACCATGAGTTCAAACGGGGTCACGTCGACACTACTCTTTTTATCAAGAAAGATAACCAAGACATCCTTTTGGTTCAAGTTTACATAGATGATATCATATTCGGTGCTACTAACGAGGTTTTGTGCAGGGATTTTTCCGATATGATGCAAAGTGAATTTGAAATGTCAATGATGGGAGAATTAAAGTTTTTCCTTGGGCTGCAAATTAGACAATGCAAAGAAGGAACATTTGTGTGTCAAACAAAATATTGCAGGGAATTGCTTAAAAGATTCGATGTTACCGAATCCAAATCCATTGACACACCAATGAGCACCTCTTGCTATCTCGACAAGGACGAAAAAGGTAAAGAGGTAGACATCAAGCGCTACCGAGGGCTTTTATTGCAGGTATCTCTCCCCTTGGTATTCAACCGAATTGAACTTGATGATTTTTTTCTGTCAAAAAAGTTTTAATCAATTACTCCTCGAAGAGAAATCGATTAGTCGCCTCTGTCCCTCTTAATCGATTACTAGCCTTTTTTTTAATGATTAAAATCCTTCAAGGAAACCTTCTTTAGCTCTGCTTCACTTTTAATCGATTAATCCTGTTAAATTAATCGATTAGACCCGTCCGTCCATCTTAATCGATTAGACCCGTCTGTCCATCTTTGTTTAATCGATTAATAGCCTGAAGCGCAAACGTCTTTGGTTCTACTCCACTTCTAATCGATTAATTAGTTTAATTTAATCGATTGGCCTCGGCTATGTTCCTTAATCGATTAAATAACCTTTTTTAATCGATTAATATTCGATTTTTGCTTCTCTTTATAATCAGAAAGTGCCTTCGTCTTCATCGCCATCTCAGTTTTATAGAGACCGTGCGAAACCCTAGCTCTTTCCCTTCACCTATTTTCTCAAACTTCATTAGAAATTTCTCAAATTTCTTCCATTTTCTCACCAAATTTCATCAATTTCAAAGAGCAAAGATGCCAAGGTGCAAGAACGCTTCATCACGTCAAGAATCGGCGGTAGAAGAAGGTGAGAGGCCATGGCGTCGTGAAGGGAGGAAGTACATCCACATCCAAACCGGACTTGCCTTCAACACCAGGGCTTCAGCCGAGAGGTTCCACAACATCTTTCTCACGAAGGAGATCATCTCACCTAAGATCGTGAACAAGGACCTCTTCAAATCGGCGACCTATGCCCCGAGTAAGTCTCTTTTCTCTCAGCAAGGATTGCTTCGTTTCATCCATTTGACGTATGAAATCTTTTGTCCAAATCTTATACGTCAATTTTATGCAAATCATCGTACCACTAAGGGAGACTCGCCATCTCTCATTTCCTATGTTGACGGCAAAACCGTTTTCATTGACGTTGCCGGGTTGACTTCTTTGTTTGTGCTTCGTCGAGGTGAAATTACCGAAAACTTGGATGAAACATTCCTAGATGAGGCAATTTGGCGACAACTCGGGTTAGATCATCGTGACCTCAAGTTTAGAAATTCTAGCAACCTGAGTGTCATTAGTCTCACTTTAATTCAACGCGTCCAACAATACATCTTTTCTTATGTTTTGTTGCCCCGTGATTCGAACCATGGCGTTGTCAACAAGGACGATACTCGTTTGTTTCACGTCCTGTTGAACAATGTCAAATTTGATTGGGTTCACTTCTTTATCGTTGCACTTAGCGATGTCACTCGTTTTTCCCATCTCCGTTTTTCCATCCCCATTATGCATATTGGTGGTCCCAAAGTGGTGAAATACAAAGTCTAGAGGGGGGGTGAATAGACTTTGTTACAGATTTAAAATCTTTTTGTTTCTTTTGAAAACGTGAAAATGAGTGTTAATCTAGAGTCCTTGTGAACTTTAGATTGTGTGCGGAATTTGGTGGGTAGAGTGAGTAGTAATCAATATGGATGGGTTAGTTTTCATAGTTAATATAATTGCAAGTAAGAATAAAGATAAAAGAGAGAGACACGCAAACTTTAACGAGTTTCGAAGGTGGGGTAATCCTTCTACGTCCTCAAAATCCACTATGTAGTTGGTTTTTGAATAATGAACCAACAATTACACTTGTGTGAATTTCTGCACGGTATATCTTCACAAGACCAATGTTGCTACTACACTCGTGCTGGCTTTGTTGTTCCTTCGAAGGTCAAGCTTCTTCAACAACTGCAAGGTCCGAACAATAGGACTTGCAAGATCAACTTGTAAGAGAGTTGACCTACCCCCTTTTAATCAATAAGTTTGATCAAAAGTAATATCCTTCAATGTGGTGTGGTGCTTGAGGCAAGGAAACCTTTAAGTGTTTACACTATAGCTCTTTGGAAGGGGGAGAAGTTTGCTTCTAGATAAGGAGTTTAGAAATCTCTCTTTATCAAGCTTTTTGGGCTAACTGTGAATGAGATAGCTTTGTTGTTAGAGATTGCTTCATTGTGTTGTTGTATCTCATCGTTTTTTTTCTCCAGTCTTCCAAGGATGCTATTTATAGCTGGATTGGATAATCTATTCGTTGAATCATAATAGACTATCTGTTGCATTTGCTGGCTTCAATTTTGAATGAAGATTGTGATTTGAAGATTCCTCATTGGAATGGGTGTTTGGACATACCCATTTGTTAAAGGAGAGATTCCTTTTTCCATAGAGTCCGTCTTCTAGCTATTGTTCAAGTATTCTGGACTGTAGAACTTTACTCTGTTTGTCTTCTAGTGCTTGTTTAGGAATTCTGGACAGGTTCTTCAATTCTTAGAGGTTCAGACTTTGTCTTCGAGTCATTTGTTCTTGAATCAGCATAATTATCTTCAATCTAGCCGTTGAAAATCAAGAGATTGATTTTTCCTTACCAACGGGTAGAATTTCTTCATTCAAGACTTAGATAATTTTCTAAGTCTTTTCTCACTTGTCCGCTTTTTGAGAATTCCGGTCTTCCCTGAGGCATCCGGTTCTTAGCCTACAAATCCGGAGAAGTCATTCTCAGACTTCCGGGTGAGAAAGAGATCCGCGCTAGTCTTTCGATTTAGATGACTTAGCCTTCAGCGGGTTGTAGCGAGACATCCGGTTCTTATGTAGTCTTCCGGATCAGAGGATTTTCATCTGCTTGAGAAATCCTTACTTGTCTCTGGCATTTCCGATCAAGATATCCAATTTCCATATCACTGAATTTGATTAGGTCTTCAGGCATCAAAACGCTTAAAGAAATATCACAACCTCATTGGAAATCTCAAGAACTTGGTTTTAACAATATTTCTAAAAAGAAAAATTACATTGAATATTGGGGGAGACCTAAAGTCCCTATTATATTCTAAATACATCATCATCAAAATCTATGATATTTTTCCCAACAATTTCCCCCTTTTTGATGATGACAAACAAGTGTTTAAGAGTTCCGGTCGCTGTACTGAGAACTAATTTTGTAACTTTCTTTTAGTTTCTCATAATATACAGCTTGTTAACAAAAACTATTAAACAAATACATTTCAAATTACAATAATTCCTAAACCAAGTCTTGTCTTGAGATTTTGTGATCTCTTCCGCCATTGACCATTTTCAGCTTCAGCAGATTCTGCTTGGCAGAGCGGTTGGCGTTGCGTTTGATAGATCTTTAATATCCAAAGTGGATATTTAAGATCTTGGAAGCAACACATCTCTCAAAATAAGAAGAAAGATAGAGAGAGTGTTGTTCCAGAGAAGGTGTATGGTGTAATACTGAAAAACACGAGATTTCCACCATAGACCTTCTCTACTGCCGAGATTCTCACCATAGACCTTGAAAGTCTTTTCTTCTCAATAGGCTTCTTTCATTGCCGTCTATGAGGGTGAGAAAGAAAAATTTCTCCAATGAGGATATTTTTCTTGGTGTGTTTCTTAGACAGTGAGTTTGAAGACTTTTCATATTGAGAGAGTTGTTTGTGATGGAAATGGATTGGAATGTCTTGATTTAAATAGGGGAGGAGAAGGTTCACGGGTTCCATTAAGTGAGTAGGTGGAACGGTGAGAGTAAAAGAGTTTCAACTTCCAAGAAGTTGAAAAGTGGAAGGAATCTTTTACCAATTACCAATGAATTGAAACCGTTCCAATTTGAAAATCAGTTTCATTTGGTTTGAGAATCACAACTGTTTTAGTTTGGCTAAGCCCAAAAGAGTGGTCCAAAAACAAAAGAAGGCTATGTACTAAAGGGAAATTGTTCCTATTGGGTTCTCAAGGCCCAAAATAAAACTATCATTTTTCATTCCCTATAGTTCTAATATCTACTTAGGACGAGGTAGTACCAAAACAAATATGAATATTATTTTTTAAAAGAAAAGTGGTACTATTTTTCCAAAGTCCTGTACATTTTAAAAATCCTAGGGACCAGTACTTTTAGAGCTTGTTGGAAATGAATTAAGGACTGAAGCTTAGTTTAAGAAGGTAGATTCTGTAAAGTACCTGAATCGGAGATTTCCAATTTTAGTACCAAAACTGAGATATCCGTCTTCCATTGCTTAGAGCTTATCAATAATTCATTGCCAAAAACAATTGTTAGCCAAAAACTAGTTAAGTTCCCCCTGAAATACATTCCCCCTGAATGTATGTGCTAAGAATAAATCTCAAAAACATACTTGAATTAGGTATAATCAAGCATAGTGAGCACAATTAAGAGAAATATTAAGGCAATGTTTAAACCAATAGAGCAATGTTTAAACAAGAAGGTGTTTGCATCAAAACACATTAGTGTTTTCACATACTTTCCCCCTGTTTTGATGAAAAGAATCATCAGTTTCTCTTGCGCTTTGAAGATCCGGCAACCTCACTGATGCCCTTCATGTTCCCACACAGTTCTTTGATGCGCCTTAAATTTTCACGTCTCTCTTCTGATTGAGCATTATTTGAGAAGTGGTCAACAACTGTACCTATAAATTCTGTTCCATCCAGTCCTGAGCTGGATAGATGCTGTGCTGAGTTTTCCGGATTTCTTTGCTGTGCTTCAAGGATTAGATTTGTCAAGTTCAGATGAGAAGGAATATAAGATACTTCTCCTTCTTTGCCTGCAATAGGGAGCTGTGGTATTGAAGATGGACTGTGTTGTTGGAGAATTACTTCCATCTTGCGGTTTCCAGAATTTGCGCCAATAAGTCTGAACAGCTTGTATGCTTCCTTTTGATTGTCAATGATCACCTTCAAGTAGTCTTTGGTCACTACCTGATTTGCAGAAGCTACTGCTAGGGCTGATCTGATGTCCATTTGGAGAAGGGACATCTATTTTTGGAGACTAACTGTGACACTCGCTATTTGCTCTTTGACTTTGTTGATCTCTTTGAGTTGAAGTTGACTGTCAGAGGCATATATTTCCATCGTGTTGCTCACAGTTCCACTCAATAGAGAGATAATCTCTAGAGTCTTGTGCACTGATTTGCTTATTGCTTTGAGATCTGCGCTGTGTTTTCCTTCAGATTTCCTTATGAGCTGGGTGTACCTGACTTCCATTTGTTCTATCTCTTGCCTAAAGGAGGCATGTTGAGATGCTAGGGCTGAATTCAATCAGCCCTTGGACCTTCTTTGTCTAGATTTCCGGTATCTCATCCGGAAGTGTAGGGGTGGAAGAGCTATGGAAATGAAAATTGGTTACCTGATGAGAGGATGGTGTTCTTTGGAAGAGTTGCATAGAAAGAGATTCAGCATCTTCTTGTACATCTTCTTCATCAGTAACCTTCAGTATTCTTTCAGACTCTCCTTCTGCTTCATCAAGCGCAAAATTTGATATATCCCTAGAGAGGGAGTCTCTTTCTTCAGCTACATTCTGTTCTTCAAAAATGGCTACTGTAGTTTGAGAGACCTCTAGTTCTGCCATTTGAGTTTCCTTTTCAGCTTCTCCAGAATTCCTTTGTGCTTCAACAGCTTGCTCCATTGTTTCTAGAAGAGCTGACTGTTCCGGAATTTCTGCTGACTTCTCCGGGATCTCAATTTCAGTAGGATTGGAGATCTCGCAAGGAGTGGTGAGAATCTCCAAAACTTGAGATTGGATTAATTGCTGAAATTCTTCTTCTTCTACTTTTTCCTGGTTCTGTTCTTGTGGGGGAGAGGTTGCCTTCTCTTCTACAACTTCAGTTAGAACCATTTCAGAAACATGTGAGGTTTCTGGAAGTGTTTGGAAATCTTCAGCTGCTGCTTCCAAAACACCTTGTGCTTCAGAAGTGAAAACCACTTGATCTTCTGTGTCTTTTGAGAAGACTGACTTGAAGACTGCAGGATCTTCATCATCTGTTTCAAAGTCTGAAACTGGTGTGTTGGCCAGGTATTCCAGATGCAAGTCTTCAGGATTCCTTTTCCATACCCAGTAGTCATCCAAAATTTGTTCACAGTTGTGGTTGACTGGTATTCCTAAGCACTTCTTGATGATCTTCTCATTCTTCAGTTGTTGGTCCCAATTCAACAGTTGCTCTGCTGAATTTCCAACTTTCCAGGCTTTCCAATCATAGTAGAGCTGCCAGAATTGGTTATCTGCATCATCTATTTGAGGTTGAGGTGATGAGGTTGGAAGGCTTTGGACTTGAGGAATTTCTTCTTCAAGTTGTTGAGGGCTCCGGTTTTGAGCAGAGGTTTCCTCAGCAGGTTCCTTCTCCTTCAACTCATCCGGATTGACATTTCCAGATGTTGATGGAGAGTTGATCTTCCTCTTCTTCTTCCTTTGAAGTTCTCCATGGTCAGAGACTTCTTCTTCCTCTTCCAAACAGATCAAAGCAAGGTTCTGTGATGTTTCAACACTTGGAGAGGGAGACACCACATGCTTTCTCTTGGCAGTCTTTGCGAAATTGATGAGTGGAACATTGTCTGATGAGCTTTCTTCTGCAGTGGCACTAGCACTAGCTCTGTTTTCTCCTCTGGAGGATAAGTAGTATAGCCAATATCTGGCTTCATACTTTTTCCCTTTAACTACAGCGCCCATACATTCCAAAATATGTCCAATATACACACCTTGACAGAGATACTTCTGATTGTGCTTTCCTAGATGTTTTGAAATGGATTTGAAAAAGTGTGCAGCCCAGTTTACCTTAGTTTTGGTAATGAGAGAGTTGATGATGAAGGCTCTTTCCTGGGTGATGTCATCGGCATGACCTCCACTTCCACACTCGAGGCAAGCGATGACCAGTTCCAAAACTAACTTGTAATCGTTGTTTAGATCTGCTTTCTTCGCTGGGCTAGAAGGAACTTGCCCAGAGATTCCAATGATGTTCCAGTCCAGATTTTTGACTGGAAATTTCCCAACTTCAACTCCAGAATTAGGAAGGCGAAGCTTTTCGCCCAATTTCTTTTGCGAAAGCTTCACTTTTGTACCTCCAACAGTGGACTTGATGACTGGAAACGTCCTCTGTGGGTTCTTCTTTGAATGAGCAGTTTTGACCTCTCCATTTCTGTAGAATTCAAGAACTTCTTCCTCGAATTTGAGGCGAATCTCCATTTGAAGAAATTTGGAGAGTTCTTGAGCGGCTATCATTTTCAGATAGCTTTGAAAGAATGTCGGTGATGAGCACTTGGCTTCTAACTTCTAGAAGTGGACATTTGCACCGACAACCTTCATTTTCTCGGAAATTTGAGAAGATCTGAAGAAATTAGGGTTCTTGAGAATTTTATCAGAAGATTCTCATGAAGAAGGCGATGAAAGATTTGAGTGTGCTGAGTGGGCAGTTGAGGTCTGATTATAGTGACGATTGGGTTTAATGTGGGTGATTTATGCGGCTAGTGGCGATTGGGTTTTTAACTGTTCCCAAGGCCACGTCCCCACCCATCATTTTGACAGACGTGGAAAGTGATTCGCCACGTGTACCGCACTCAGTTTAATTGAATTAGACCAATTTTGTGAAGCAAATTGGAAAACTTGGCTTCACTTAGTGGTTTAGTGAAGATATCCGCCAGTTGTTTATCAGTTGAGATGTACTCAATTTTGATATCGTTCTTTTCCACATGATCTATGATGAAGTGATGCTTGACATCAATGTGCTTAGTGCGAGAATGATGCACTGGGTTTTGAGAGATGGCTATGGCACTTTGATTGTCATAAAAGATTGTCACTTCCTTTGTCTTGACTCCATAGTCCAGTAGTTGTTGCTTTAGCCACAAAATTTGAGCACAACAACTACCAGCTGCAATGTACTCTGCTTCTGCTGTTGATGTAGAAATGGAGTTTTGTTTCTTACTGAACCAAGAAACAAGATTTCCACTAATGAATTGACAAGTACCAGATGTACTTTTCCGGTCAACTTTGCATCCGGCAAAGTCAGAATCTGAGTAGCCCACTAACTCAAATGAATTGCTCTTAGCATACCACAAACCCATGTTCTGAGTTCCTTTGAGGTATCTAAGAATCCTTTTAGCTGCTATCAGATGACTTTCCTTTGGCTTTGACTGGAATCTGGCACAAACACCTACTGCATATGAGATATCCGGACGGCTTGCAGTAAGGTAAAGTAGAGATCCGACAATTCCTCTGTAGAGAGTTTGATCTACATCCTTTCCATCTACATCCATATCAA